GTGCCCCTCATGCCGAGAAAGGGAAAGGACAGGAGGGTGTGCAAGGACAGGAGGGTGTGCAAGGACAGGAGGGTGTGCACAGGCGGGACTCTGCTCCGGGGGCAGAGGAGACTCAGCCAGGAACCGCACTCAGGGAGGGCCAGGCTCGCGCCTCTACCTGGAAGGGGTGCTGCAGCGCCTCCAGCACCGTGATGCGGGACTTCTCGCTCACCAGGGATGGCTTGAACAGCCCAGCCTCGATGAAGCTGGCCACGGCAGCTGTCCCATTCTTGGCAGAGTAGACCCCGCCAGCCAACAGCGTCAGCCCAACCACCTGCAGCAGAGACACCGCACTGGCGTGCCTGCCCCACCCTGCCTCCCTCGTAGAGCAGGAAATGCACGGAACGCACGGGGCTGCCGCACCCTCTCTCCGACCAAGGGAGAAGCACAGGGCTGTGTGCTTTGCAGCACAGGAACCCGAATTCCCGGCCCGGAATCCCACAGCCACGCGGTTACAGGAGGCAGGCGGGGCCGTCACAGCGCCCTCGCTCAGGGCCATTTTCTCTGCAACTGGCAGCATAAATCCTGCAAAGCCCCGGTCGCTGAGCAGGGCCCTGGGCAGACTCAGCCAGATATGTCACAGGGCCACACCCTCTGTTACTTTCTTGGCCACTAAAATGGTACTTTATTCCTGGAAAACAAGGCTGACCCGAAATCTCTAACTTGTTTTAAAAATCAATTAGGCCGACTGGGCGTGGTAGCTCAGGCCTGCCATCCCAGCACTTTGGGAGGTCGAGGCAGGCGGATCACCTGAGGTTGGGAGTTGGAGACCAGCCTAACCCACATGGAGAAACCCCATTTCTACTAAAAATACAAAAAGTTAGCTGGGCATGATGGCACATGCCTGTAATCTCAGCTACTTGGGAGGCTGAGGCAGGAGAGTTGCTTGAACCAGGGAGGCAGAGGTTGCAGTGAGCCCAGACCGCGTCATCGCACTCAAGCCTGGGCCACAAGAGTTAAACTCCATCCCAAAAAATAAAAAAAAAAAGAAAGAAAAATCGTTTATGCCAGGCCCGGTGGCCCATCCCTGTAATCCCAGCACTTTGGGAGGCCAAGATGGGCAGATCACCTGAGGTCAGGAGTTCGTGACCAGCCTGGCCAACAGGGTGAAAACCCATCTTCACCAAAACAGAAAATTACCCGGGCACGGCGACCTGCACCTGTAGTCCTGGCAACCGGAGAGGCTGAGGCAGGAGGATGGCGTGAACCCGGGAGGCGGAGCTTGCAGTGAGCCGAGATGGTGCCACCGCACTCCAGCCTGGGGACACAGTGAGACACTGTCTCTAAATACAAACGGAAGTCAACGGTGCATTAAGCAGCTCCCTCGTGTCCTCACGTGACACCG